CCCCCCCCCCCGTTCGCATTTGCTGCCGTTGAACATCCGTTTTTTGTTTGACTTTTGAGTACCGTCGCTCCCCCCCCCGCCCCCCCTCTCGTGGAATGAGCGTCGTCGGAATGTGCTCTGCGATTGCTTCTATTGTTTTCTATGTCTCGTCTTGCGCTGCGTGAGATAGAGATAGGTGACATTCATGCATCCCTTGTCCTTTTTCTTATGGATATCTCCTCCAGGGAGAGGTCGTAAGGGTCCGAGTGATGCGGATAAGAGGTACAACAACAGATCGAAACTGTATCGCGACAAGCTGTCGGCTCTCGACTGGGTCGGAGTGACCGGCGAGCCCGGGTGTGGTGCTGCTGTGTTTTTGACGGAGGACGAAGGGGCGACCTGGTACTGTTGTGGTGGCATCATCAGGTCTGAAATTGAAAAGGCCACGGCGGAGAAGGGCAACGTCGACGAGCGAGACTTAAGGAAGTTCTTCCTCACTTCAGTGTATGATGAACAGGGTGCCCACTTGGTCAAGACTGACCACAAGGTCAGCCTCGACCTTGCTCTGTTCAAGGGGTATGGTCAGAAGACATTCGCTATGAAAGCCTTCGGCGGCAAGGGAGATGGGAATGAGTTTAGAATGCTCTTACCCGTTGAATTCCTCAGCAAGACCAACGGGTATAGGAAAAGTGGTCAATTCCCGACGGTCACCGCTGGTCACCAACTCATGATGCCTCTTGTGTCGTTCGACACTCCTGTCGAAAGTCTCGCAGGCTTATCGACGTGCTCTAGCGATCGGCGGCAGGTTGTGTCGACAACGCAACAACCTATTGGCGGGAAACAGAAAGTCATTACTTACTCAAGGCGTTCAGCGGGTGGGTCATCAGCGACGATCCCGAAGACGATGGAGCTCGCCGGACGTCCTTCGAATCTTCCAAAAGGTTCTCGTGCTATTGCCAGCTCACGCTCGCGGGACACCCCGCAACATGAAATGGACGAGGAGTCGGACGAAGAAACGGAGGAAGACGAACGGGTTCGTAAATTGGATTTGCGGCTCTTCGCAACACCTGGGCACATCCGGGGCGAAGGCTCTTGCGATGTGAATGTGGGGCGGGAAGCTGGTGGAGGTGGCGAAGCCCGGCTGGGGGCGATGGAGAATATGACGAAGATGAAGGCGAGTGTCGTAGTGGCGCGCGGCGACAAAACGTTGGAGGTGAGGCAGGTCATTGCGATGGAATGGCGGAGCAAATGGAGTGTGACAGAGTTGCGGCGAGTGGTGGGGTGGAATATGGCAGTCAGGGTGGTTCAGAAATGGAAGACGGCGAATTGGAAGACAAAGGAGGAGATGCCGGTATTTCCGCGGGGCTGACTTCCAAGAGGGGGGGAAAACGCACAGCGGAAGAGTCACCGACGCCAGCTGCGCCTAAGAAGCAGGCTCAAAGGAAATCTGTGGACCAAGCTCGGGTCGCCTTGGATGCATCTCAAGAAACGCTTGGTGAACCCGATGTGAACCGCAAATCAAGTGCTCGGATTCGCAAAACGTCACAACCCAAGAATCTCGTGCGGTCGTCAAGGCGCCAAAAATCAGACGACTCCAGCGACGATGCTCAAGGGGTGGCCCCTCGCTTGCTCTCCCTCCCTGACGACGTTGAACAGGAGACGAAGAAACCCAGTGCGGTCAACATGACGCAATGCTACTTCCTCGAGTACGATGAGGAAGGCAAAAAGAGAAGAGACCCGCCGAGAGTGGTAATTGACGTTATGCAAATCCTTCGAATTCCGGAGGGAGATATCGCCTTTAATCGGCGATCGCTGAACATGGCCATCCTTGCAGGCCTCGATGCGGCTATCGAGTCGTCGACTGGCCCAAGGGCCGAGGATGATCCTGCTCGGTGGGAACCGCCAGAGTTGGTGTTGGCTTCGATTTCGCCATGGAAGGATGATCCGGACAGGCAAGGGACACGAGTCCTTCCAAAGGACTTTGATCCCGATAGGGCAGACAAGTACTTCTATTACCCGGTTGCCGGCCAGCATACTTCCGAAGCCATGAAAAGAGCAGTGGCAAGGAATTCCGCAGCAGTGGACGTGTTCGACTTTCGAAATTATGACCGTGTACGGATCATTTATTTCGAAGACGACCACACGAATGGGTATGTGTATGTTTCGACATACGACAACACGAGAGGTGACCGCGCTATGTTGCCATCGTTCCACCAAGCCTGCCAAGACATCATAAATTTCTGGGATTCGAAGACCCAGATCGGACCTGTGGGGAACGTGTCCAAAACGGATCCCACCGGTTTGGCGCACCAGGAAAAGTGGAGGAAGTTCATGAGAGTTTGCATGGGGCGGTCATGTGATAATCCTTATGCACTGAGTCTTTGGCTCCGAAGTGGCAACAGGACTGGACGAACAGGATGAGGTGATACATGAATGTCGCCACATGTAGGGACCGGATATGGCCATTGGTGAAGGATTTTTTTGAGAAGTTCGAAGCGGGGGAGTTGCCGCTACACAACAACAAGTGCCCAAAGGACTTGCGGGGGAGGCAGGAGGGGCGCATGCCGGGCCAATTCGTTGAAGAGGTGCAGGGGAAGAAGGAGGTGTTCCACTGCATTCCGGCTAAGGACGGGGGACCAAACGCAACAGTGTCCTTCAAAGATCTCGTTCCGTCAAACTTCAAATGTTTTAGGGATATGACAGCACGAGAAAAGGAAATCGCTTTGCGTTTGATGATCAATAAGAAAGTCATCGCCACAACTAGACTGGTTCCTCCTAAGAAGATGAACATGACGAACCTCCTCGACATCATAATGCGCGAGAGATACATGACGCGTTTGTTCAACTACATCGTCTTCAAATCGGAGAACAGAGAGGTGAATGAGTGGAAGGAGGGGTTTTTCTTCGACTATGATAAAATGGAGCAAAGGTTTGGCATAAATGCAGGCGAATGGGATGAGGAAAGGGATAGGATCCCTTTGGAATATGTCCGGAGGGTTCCGAAAAGACTCGGCGGAGAGCAAGAACAAAAAGATCTGAAAGGAGCTGGTCTAAAGGCCGCGGAGGCGTTGTACAGGGACGCGTCATTCCATTTCAAGTACTTTGTGTACCACGCCATAGGGAAAGTGGACTTGCTGACAGCCGAGTTGCGACGGTTGAAGAACGTTGCGCTTCATCTGTGTTGGGAGAAGAAAAGGCGACGGTCGACATTATTGTTGGTCAACATGCACCCGAAAGAGTTGCTGCCCGCGGCCGACGAAATTGTGACAGCAGCCACGAACTTGAATTGCACGGCCGCCATCCTCGATCTCGCAAACCCGAAGGACTGCCTTGCATGGGCGCCGACCGATTTCGATGCTCTGCACATAATGATGTCGAAATTGTGCGGCAATAATTGGATATTGATTGTTTTTGCCCCACAAAGACAACAGAAGATCGTCATGCGACAGCTTTACAACTGGGACGACGTAGAGGTGATAACTGGAACTTGGAAGCGTTATCTTGGGGTCGGGACGACTGTCAGCAAATACGAAAACTTGCAAGTCGATTACAAGAACACGATGGCGATCGTCCTGCATGCCGAGGGCGGCGACCTCAAGAAGGTCACGAGGATCCCTAAGTCGGAGGCGGAGCTAGTGGAGCTCAACGTTGAGGAAGACAAGTCCAAGAGGTGCACAGCAAAGCATGGCGGCGACGAAGGAAACGAACGAGAGGAATATGGGCGGTGGGAACGACATTCGACACTGTTGCAAAAGTTATGTAGTTCGTTTCTGCACGAGGATCAGGGGGTGATACTTATCGGAAAGCCGCATGCTGGACTTGTGTGGAAGCTTCTACGCGCATGCTATCATGTTTTTGCATGTGACGCGTCATCCAAAGACATCTCGTACTGTAGGAACGCAATCGACATTCTTGGGAAGGACACGAGAAACGATTGCACGGTTGAGAGGAAGAAGACTGCGCATCGTCCGGACAGAGATATGTACCACAAGCTGGGCAAGAAGGGAAACAAGATGTGGGACTATCTGTTCCAAGGGCAACCCAAGTCGCCATTCGAGCATGACTACATAGTTCGCAAAGCGATGGCACAGGAAGCATATGGTGGTTACCACAAAGCGCAGGTGGGTGCGTTTGTGATGTTTGTGGCGCGATGCGAGCAACTGAAGTTCACGACAAATCGGACAATGCTGACATACAATGACTACAGTAACCTCGCCAAGACAACAGATGCATGGTGTCCGATCGAGAGCGACGAGGAGACTGAAACCTCGGACCTCGATATCGAAGAGCGAGTGAAACGTTCGCGAGATGGAATGCAAAGTGTGCCTGCATGCAGCGTGCAGAACGAAAATCCAGAACAAGGTCCCACGAACTCGGGAGGTGCGAGCAGTCCTGGGCGTGATGTGACGGACAGGGCGAGTTCCATTGACCAGATGCAAACTGATTCGCCGACGACCCTCTTGGCACTTTAGAATGTATTGATTCATGGCAATCGTCGTGGGTTGCAGGGAAGGTCTCCATATGGAGGAAACACGGACCACGACATGCTGGCAGATGCTGACGAAGATGACTTGGTTGTTCCAGATCCATCCCCGAAGCTAATGCCTGGTGATGATATACCCGATTGCATTGTTCAGGAAAGTGCACAACCGTATTTCATTCATGACAAGGTGCCAGAAACAACATCTGAGAAGTGGGGGTATCACATTTTGTGGCATACGGACGTGTTTGAGCCGTGCGTCTTCAAGGGGGAGTGGATGATGGCACAGCATCTATCATCGGGATGGAAAACCAAACCCAGACTTGCAGAAGAACCGTGGCTGAAAGTGGCGAGGAGTGAAATCGTCTTTCGTGTCCAGTGCGAAAACGATGGGGTGGACGAGGCGGCTATTGAGGAGAAGGCTCGACTGTTGTTCGATTCTTTGCGCTCAGCCAATCGACTGGAATATAAACCCAGATTCTATGACTTGCCGTCACATCGGTCATACAACACCATCGATTGGAAGATCGAACTTCCTCATACGTGCCAAGGCATCGAGACAATGCGGTTGGGATGCTCACAGCTTGGGGAGCAGTCGACAACGGAGTTTGCTGCCAGTGTTGGGGAAGCAATGAGCCAAACTGTTGTCAAGATGATGGGGGTGGACAAGGGAACACAGAATGTCAATGAAGACAAATCGAACGTTGGAACGTACGGGCATTCTCTAATAACTCAAACGGGAAACCAGAGTGAATCGTAGATGAAGAGTACCAATCCTTCAGCGAACATGGCGGTCGCAGATGAAATGCAACAAGGTGGGCATACAGAACATGCGAGTGAGGCGCAAGAAAATTCCAATGAAATGATGAAATTGTTGATTGACGCGGAGAATGAGGGGAAGAGGAAAATTGGGGGATCAACCACGTCACAGACTGTAATTAATTGTATTTCATTCAGCGATGAAGGGCAAGAAATATATGTAGAGGGGTACAATGACGTTGAGGATGCAAGGGACAATGGCGATGAACAAAAGGGATTGAATGACGGAAATCTCCCTACCAGACGGTCGACAAGAGAAAAAACGAAAAAACAAGATCAATGTGTAGATATATGCAGATTGTGATATGCGTGTTGTGCGTGTGTGTGTACATAGGTGTGTGTGTGTGTGTGTACATAGGTGTGTGTGTGTGTGTGTGTGTATGTGTGTGTGTGTGTATGTGTGTGTGTGTGTGTGTTCGTGCGTGCGTGCGTGTGTGCATTCCTGCGTGCGTGCGTGTGCGTATGTGTGTGTGTGTGTGTGTGTGTGTTTGTACCGGACTAAGATAAATATTCGGAGGGAGACACGTGATAAAATAATTGATTCCACACTTAATTTGCGAGGAAATGTCAATCATGATACATAACCATCATGATACATAAGGTCAATGTGTAGATATATGCAGAGGGTGATATGCGTGGTGTGTGTGTGTGTGTACATAGGTGTGTGTGTGTGTGTGTGTGTGTGTGTGTGTGTGTGTGTGTGTGTGCGTGTGTGTGTGTGTGTGTGTGTGAGTGTATGTGTGTGTGTGTGTGTGTGTGTGTGTGTGTGTTTGTACCGGACTAAGATAAATATTCGGAAGGAGAAGCGTGATAAAATAATTGATTTCACACTTTATTTGAGAGGAAGTGTCAATCATGATACATAACAATCTCTCTCTCTCTCTTTCTCTCTCTTTCTCTCCGTCTCTCTCTCTCACTATGAATTTAACGATAGTATGATTATTAGTGTGGTAAATCATAAATATGGGTGTGGTATGTCATAAAACACTATTGACGTGGTTCGTGAAAGTGATGAAAGTATACGAAACAAAATAATGCAGTGTATTGGTTTCCTCTACTGAATTTATAGTTCTTATAAGCACAACGCTCATGTAAGGTAAGCCCTATTTCACATCACTGCAATAAATTGAATCTAATAAACATGACTAGAAACGTAAGGTGTGAAACAATAGCTCACATAAAGACATGGCGCGTTGTTATGTGCAACGCAAACGACAATGGAGGATAATCGGAGGTGCAAAAAATGATGGACTGTCCACTTGGCAACAACGAACTTGACGGATAAAGAGCTGGAGGCCCTCACGCGATTGCGAGTGCAAATTGGGAGTACAGACGTCATAGCATGTTCATTTAACGAAGACACAAAAGAAAAATTAACGATGACAGTCAACGATTTTAGCTTGTTAATGATAGAAAAAAAATGGTTGAACGACCAAATAGTTAATTTTTATCTTAACCTTGTCCGACTGGACAATGAATGTCGTATGAAGCACCATAATTGCGACTCGAAGAAGGAGAATGTGGTTAGAACAGGATAGGGGCGCATTCCTAGAGCAACAGTTCTAAGCTCGTTTTTTTTTGTGAGACTATTCGATAGCGATATGAAGTTCGAGTACAAAAAGGTTCGCAGGTGGTTCACAGAGGTTGTGATTACCGACATGGACTTAATTATTGCACCTTTCCACATCGCGCACAACCAACATTGGACACTCGTAGTGACAAACCTTAGGCGTATAAAAATTGAGTACTACGATTCGATGGCACCGGATGTTCAACTCGCAAGTAAGGTGACAGGGGGGTTCGCAAGATTTCTGTACATGAGATCAGTCGAACAAGGTCAAGAAATTGACACAAAAAACTTCAACCATATATAGGTAGTGGAAGGCATTCCAAAGCAGCGCGACTCTAACAAGTGAGGTGTGTTTATGCTGACATATGCATCACTATTGGCGAAAGGGTTTCTTCCACCATTCACGTTCATATCAGATGATATAAAGAAACTACGATGCCGGATAACTTTCGACGTAGTTATTGTGAAGTAGACGCATTTATTCCATTTACAATAAGACGTTCAAACACATGAAATGACAATGCAGTGATCAAAAATAGATGTGATATGAGAGAAGAAGAGTTTGTAACTGTAAAGAGGATTACTTATGCAGTTTACGAAAAATGTAACTGGTCGTCCAAGAAGGACATCTTATGAAAGGACATCTTATGAAAGGACATCTTATCTCTTACATCTTACTCCTATCGCCTTTACCCCTGACCCCGCCCCCCTTATCCCGTACCCCTCTACCCCTTACCCCTTACCCCCTACCCCTTACCCCCTACCCCTTACCACTTACCCCTTACACTATACCCCTTACCCCTTACCCCTTACCCCTTACCCTCTACACCCTACACCCTACCCCTTACCCCTTACTTCTTACCCCCCGCTACTATCACAAATAATTCACATATGAAGAAAAATATGGCAAAATCTTTCAGTTTCAATTTCGTTCAAAAAATAAAAAATGGCCGTTTTGACGAAATCATAGTTATTCCTTCCTCCTTTTCTTCTTCACTTCCTTCTCAGCATTCTTCACCTGTGTCACGCCTCTACCCTCCTCACATATCTTCACTGGCTAGTCTTTTGCTTAATTCAGAGTAGATGTAGCATAAACTAACCCCGTTTTCAAGGTACTCATCAAATTGTTATCTTTCGGTTCCCATCGGTGCCGTAAAAAGCAAAACTGGCTAATGCTGCCAGAGGTGGTTAGTCTGGGTTAAATTGTGGGGTCCGCGGCCCCGGATATCCGTTTCTTTCTCCTGCAAACAAACAATTCTATTTAAAAAAAAAAAAAAAAAAAAAAAAGCTTATACAGGGGACCCCTGCGAATATAGCTTAGCTTTGTTGTCTCCCTCCAGCCATCAGAGGGAATGCATCTTGCGCCCTCCTTCCCGGGAGGCCCTGTACGCCTGATTTTCCTCCTCTTTTTTTGTTTCTTTGTGGCTTCTCACAACCAGAAGAGAAAGAATGCCCACTCTATAAACTCGAATCAGGTGATAGGTAGAAGGACAACCGTTTTTGGGAAAAGGGTGTGCGGGGTCCTGCAAAACTTGTGACCGTGGCCCCTTCTTTACTTCTCCCCCCCCCAACTTCACTCCCCAAGAAACGGCAACGGCCTTGACATATCATCATTGAACTGACCGACCCCAGGTAATTCAGAACTATTTTGTTCTGCACATCTGATTGCTTATTTCGACAGTTCATGTGTATACGGACTGAACACCTCTCTCTCTCTCTCTCTCTCTCTCTCTCTCTCTCTCTCTCTCTCTCTCTCTCTCTCT